TCAGACCAATATGAAGGTGCAGAACTCCAAGGGACCAGACCTCAAATATCTACTAAATGTTCCAGGTTATCCGTAAATGACAGCAAAAACTTTGCTAATGACTGTTTCAGTTCCCAGACACACTGTCATCACAGCACACACTAAGCAACCCCTGTTCTTCCTCCATCCTTCTACTTGCTCAAGAAGCAAGAACACACCAACACAAAGCATAAAAAATGGTGTAGAAAGAGGTAGTGAGAGCTCACAGAGAGGAAAAACCTCAAAGGAGGAACACATTCAGAGGAAAACTAAAGCAATTGCTAAATATTTTGGTCACGGTGTCGCGCGCTTGTCGTTGAGCTCTTTTCTGGTGCCACAGCACTACCTCAGTGGAATTGCACCATGGACATGTTGAGTCCTCACTGCTTGCCCCAGGTGGTCAGCATCACATTCCCAATCAGAAAGGGGTCAGCATTCAGAAAGAATAACTTGGGTATTTGATAAAAATCTGCTACATCATGCAGTCATTACTTGGCATGTTATATGGCCTTGTGTGCAAACAACGGTGAAGTCCTTCAGCACTGCTGAAGGCTGCCAAGTCCCAGTTCACGTGTTTCTAAATGGGAATGCCCACGAGAAGGTTCAGCACACCCTCAGTGAACAGAGGCACTTTAGACACAGTTAGATCTGGTACTGTAAATTATATTCCTTTCTCATGATGCAAAGCTGAATGTTTAACACTCATCCAACCTTCCCCAACACAATGATTTCCTATAAGGGAAGTTATACAGTAACGTGTTTAGATTTCTGATAGCGTGACAGGAGCTTTGCACAAATGAATCAAAAACCTGTGGAAACTGGGCATCCAGAGCTATCAACAATGAGATACAATACTATGACAAGGGTATATCAAGCCACTTTAATGAGGAGATTTAGTCTGACATGTGTCTTCTGACACATGACAAAACAAAATCTATTGTTTTGTTATAATCCTCTATGCAAAGACGGGAGGGGAAGTAAGATGTAAGATGCCATAACATCTTTGGAGCATGAAGTCATGAAAATAAACCATACTAAGCACCTTATCAAAATAACCTTAACAGAAGAGGATGTACGTAATCAGCTAAGACGTACTTTTGTGCAGAGTAATGCAACCATGTCTTTCACGTGCATATTTCATATGAGTGAAGATGCTTGAAGTTAAACGGAAAACTGCTGTGACACAAATATTTTTCTTGAGCACTAAAGGCATTGATTTTCTAAAACAATCAGTACAGTGGGTACTTAAGAAAATACGTTTATAATCTCTGATTAGCAAGACTGCCGTTAATAGCTTTTTGTGCTACCATATTTACTGTTCACAAAAATACCAACACACAAGAGCGAATGCAGATCTGAGGGGAAGCTTGCAGCCCAAAGCCAGGATCCAAAGGGACCATAAGAATCAGTTTATCAATTCCTGCAATGATATGTTTAGTTAGTCCTAGTTTCCATGCAACCCAAGCCCGGAGCACCCATTCCTGCATTATGTGCACATAACCTTTTCCATCCAGTATCATCATTTTAATTCCAGAAAGGAAGGCGGTAACGCAGCTCATATGGGAATTAAGTGATTTCATTAACTGCTCCCTAAAACAGCCCTAAGGGCACAGGATACAAACCTGCCACAAACAGGAGTATGGGTAGAAACTCAGGCATGAAGGAATGAGCACCAAATTCCTAATTTCTTTCCACTCAAGGCAAGAAACTTGTTCCTCCTCCTCCCAGCAACTTTACACTGATTTTGATGTAGTGCCACAGAAGGGATGGATGCCTGCTTACCCAGACACCTGCACATCTCATTTTGTATCACCAGTGCGGCACACACTGCACCCAGCTCTTCTGTAACAGTGCCGCTACAAAGCACTAAGTGAAATCCTACTCCTCTGTTACACAGGGAGAATTAATCCCAGTTAAAGGTGAATGACATTTATGCATTATTAAGGAAAACAGAAAGCCAGCTTTCCTGTATCAACTGTGCTTTGAATACGCAAATACACTTCTAAGGATTTGAATCAGCACTGATGGAGTTTGTTGATACTAGTGAATTCTGCAGAGTCTTGAACTTTTGCTACAGGACCTTTTCTTCCCCTTTTCAAAAATGCAACGTGCTATAAATACAGTAAACCAAGCAGAACATGCAAGACAAATGAAAGTGCAAATATGGACAAAGCTCAGCAAAATGACACAAACCCAATAGGAAAAAACAGAAAAAGAAGAACTTATGTTAGATCTTACTGGGGTAAGTGTCGAAAGTCTTCTGAATACTGTTCATACTTGTAGTTCACAACATGCCACTGGGAACTGTAGTATTTACAAGCCTAAAGAGAAAAAAACACAAACAACAACAGTAGAATTACTACAACTCTTTAGACTCAAGAAGGCTAGAGAACTAAGAAACATCTGAGGGAGTCCTTTGCGCTAGAGAACACATTCTTCTCTTTTATAGCTGGGTGCACAGTTCTTAAAGGAAAGTCAGTCATACATTTCCACCTTTTGAAGCACAATTTCCCATCTAAATCAAATGCACTGTATCATACAAGACAGAGGAGGTGGCTGATAGCAATTTAACATGCTTTACTGATTCTCATCTACGCTGTAGGAAACATCATTAAACTATATCACTACTGCCTCAAAAGACACTACCTAGTTTAGGCCTGACTTTGTCCACGGACATTAATTACACATTTTTTGTTTGCATTGTGTTTCATTACCTAAGCCTCCCATTGTAAATACATTTGCCCTACTCCTTTTATTCCCCCTTGTTGCAGCACGAGCCCTCTACCTCTTCTGCCCTTAAGGATTGATCTTTAACGTCTCAACAACAGTCAGGAATATATTAATAGGACTATCATTTCTCACCAGAGAGTCATTTTCCCTTCCACACTGAATTTGCTCAGTCAGCTCATCACCTCCGTGTAGATTTTATTTTCCAAAAAACTTCTTGCTAGTTTTGCAGTCATCTTTTGAAATTGTTCTTAACATATCAATCTCCCTTAAATAGGGGAACTGGACCTGAGCAAAGACTAAACTGAAGGGCTTTGCTATGCTGTCAAACAGACCAGAATAACTGTGATTTACTCAATACAGAACTTCTATCAACACAATTAAACACAACACGGCATTTCTAAAGGCAACAAGATGCATGAAATATGTACAGTTACTGATAAGGCATACATCTACAATGAGAAAAATGACAATTTCAGGAATTCCAGTTATTCTTGCTACAGAGTGTAAAATGCAAACTGATACTTGTACAGTATACTGAAGAATTTACCCCAGTATTGTTTTGTTTTCTCCCCACACTCCACCTGAACATTTGCACCAGCCCTTGTGAGATGGACAGGAAGAAACAGAGGCAGCAAGCCTGAAACCCAACAGTAGAAGCGGCTGCCCAAGACCACAAGAAAAAGGAGGCACGTCAGGAAGGAAAATGGTGGAGACCAAGAGTAGAGAAAGAAGCAGCAGCACTGAAAGGAATCTGAGGTGGGAAAAGGAAAGACTCTCACAGGATGGCTGAGGCTCCAGGAGACAAAGAGAATGGAACAAGGGACAGAGCAAAAATATTAAAGAACCAAAAAATACACAGAGAAACTGGAAGAAAAGGCAACAAAGGGACGAGTAAGTTAGTACTGCCCCAACTGGGAATATGCCCTCTCTTCCCTGCCAGCCGCTTCTGAAGCTCCCATGGGAGCCATTGCTTGCACAGCAATCTCTGCCTCAGAGAGACAGGGGATTATCAGGCTGCTGGAGCAGTAACTGAGGTGGGCTGAAAACTTAAAGGCGGTGCTTTCTAGATTACTCAGCACAAATCTCCTTTTTAAATCTTGCGTAAAACATACAGAGTATGTAGCCACAAATTATCTGTGACTGCTTTATTTTTTTTTAAACTATGGAAAAGGAGCTGAGGGGTGCCCTCATTAATGTTTATAAATTTGTAAAGGGCGAGTGTCAGGAGGAAGGAGCCAGGCTCTGCTCTGGGATGTCCAATGCCAGGACAAGGGGCAATGGTCCCAAGCTGGAGCACAGGAGGTTCAACCTGAACATGAGGAAAAACTTTGTCAGTGTGAGGGTTATGGAGCATGGCCCAGGCTGCCCAGAGAGGTTGTGGAGTCTCCTTCTCTGCAGACATTCAAAACCCCCCGGCCGTGTTCCTGTGTGACCTGGTCTGGTGATCCTGCTCTGGCAGGGGTTGCACTGGGGGAGCTTTCGAGGTCCCTTCCAACTCCTGATATTCTGTGATTCCGTGAAAAGGTGGCAAGGAAGTGGATGCCCATTTATAGGCAGTACTCTCCCACTCCAACACTGAATCAAGCAGTTCAGCACAACCAAAGGCAGGCTGCAGTAATCACATTTCATGTGGATCTAGCACCTACTTTCTGGTCTGACACAAACCCACATTATCGTAGAGGATGCAGAATAAAGTGTGACCATTAGACAACATAAACCAATCACATAGTCTCTGAGAATGAACATAATACTACAGCATTATAACTGACTAACTCTGCCCCTCACAGGGTCAAATTCAAAGCCTAGCCCTGACAACCATGGTTCTATGCCACTCCAACTCTGGCTGCACTCTGCCTTTGAATAGAAAATAAAAAGCCAACCAAAACCCAATCTTTCTGTTTTATGAATCTTCCTAAAATGAATTGGTCACTCTTGTATTTGTGCGATCTAAGTTTTAGTTAAAACGAATTGATAATCACCTGGGCTATAAGAATACTCTTACAAGAGCCACACGCACTGTTCTACACGAGCCCATGAAAAGCTCATTCACTGAACGTCGTGAGGATGAGCACAGACACTCCAATTCACACTTCACTCACCTTCCACTTGACAAACGTAAACCAACTGAACCTTCTACAGAAAGAGCCACTTTTTCCCCGTGGTACTTTCATTACTAAGTATCCTATTTAACAGACGCAATTAAAACCCACCGAGAATTCTCAATGCAGGCTTTTATTGCAAACATTATAGGTTGATGTGTTAAAGAAACCAGTTGAGAATAACACAGAGCAGGCCACAGTATTTTAGCTTATAACTATAAAGGTTTATTGTGCTCCTCCAAGAAAAACCTAATCAAAATAAAAATCAAAGGGGACAAGCAGCACATCCAAGCATCACTCAGTAAACCTACAAAAGGCAAGCCAATTCAGTGCAACAGCTAATGGTGTTCTTGAACTAGCTAGTTGTGGCTACCCATCGTAAACTAGATCCAGTTTAAATTTTAAAAAGTGACAGCATTTTCTCTTCAGAATACTGTAACTAAAAATCAAATACTTCTGCTGACTGTACTGACTTTTAATGATTTTATTTTTTTTTTAACTTGGGAACTATGATTGGAAATTGAATTTTAGCAATGAGGAAAAAATACCTGCAAACCTCATTTGAAGAATAAGAAAAACCTTTCTAGAGGTAGAGACTTCATCAAGAAGCCAGAGCTGGATCCTACTGTTCCTGGCAAAGGATGGAGGCACCGGTGCAGGGGCTGTTGAACAAAAGTGGATTGTGGGGGAGGAAAAATATAGATGGAGAAATGGAAGCTTTGCGATGTGGGAGGGTTGGCACACATTTGGATGAACTTTCCTACTGCACTGTTGCCCAGGCAGGCTGCACAGCCCATTCCCAAGGGCCCTATCAAATTCAGGGTATTTTTTTCTGTTTTCTTGTTGCCCAGCTGGCCTAATTTTTCCTTAGAGAGACAGACAATCCTGCAAGCTTTTTGCACCTGTAACTTCTTAGGTCTGGTTCTGGTGATGACAGCATAATGGCTACTACAGTGAAAGGGACACTTAAAAGAGATTTACCCTGCAATGCAAATGAACCTTTTGGAGAAAAAAAAAAGAAAAACAAAGAAAGAATGGGAAGTGAGAAAAACACAAATGACCAAACACCCTGAAACATTTGAATGCAACTCTATTGCTTATATTGTCTCTAAGACAGCGCTAGGTATATTGGAAATAAAGATGCACAGATGATGTAAGTCATTCTTGGAACAACTGGGCTTCTTGCAGAGAAACTGCATGCACAGAGCAATCCTGCCACCCCACTCTCCCTGAAGAGTGGCTGTTTCCAAGGTGGAAAGCAGGGGATGTTGAGCAGGAAAAGGCAAGTCCATGCAAGAGCTTGGAAACAGAAAGCAAAGACCTTCCAGAGCTGAATGTGGCCACAGTGCTAAAGGGGAAGCGGCAGAGATGGCTCTGTGCCCTGCCCCATGATGGGAGACATGCATAGCACTGCTCATAAAGCATTCCCAATGGCTTCTCCTGCCTGTGACCTCTGCTGCAACAACTAAAGGCAGCATACGAGGATTTAGGAAGGTGCAAGGCAGTGTGATTACCCTGGCTTGGAATTCAGCCCTCCACCTCAGGCCTACCCCTGAGCCCTTACACTTGCAACAAGCATGGCAGCGTCGTGACCAGCTGCTGGCAACAGGGACCTTCATTTCAGGGCTTTTGATGCTGCTTCCACATTAACACAGTTCACACATATAGTAAAGTCCAGTGACACAGCAGTGTAACAAAACAAACATTAAAACACACTATTATTTTGAAGTATTAATAATTTTTTAAAAGTATTTACCGCTTGTGCTATCAAAAGACCTACTGTCCTTTAATAACATACATCATAGCCCTGTCATTACAGTTCCTTAGAGTACTGCAAGCACTTAGATTTTTGAAGCTGGAGATATCTACACTGGGATGAGCAATAATAAAACTTTCTCTGTGGCATTTATCAACAGGAGTTCCCATTTTATTTTGACTTTGAAATATCTGAAAGCAATGCAGATTAGCCTGTAAATAAAAAAGCCTCAGAAACCAACTTATGGACACACAACAGTTTTCAGTAATTATATAGAAGGCCGTGGCTCTTTTAACATTATGATTAATAAGACTCACATTTAGTAATTACAGATCCTGTAGACACAACTTGCAAAATCTCAAATGAAAAAAAACAACACAGAAGAATGGTGAGGGCTCTGAAAACGTGCAAGGGACAACTCCAATTTCTGCATCTAGAAAACCTACACAGGAAAGTTAACAGGCAACCATGTGAATACTGTACTATAGCAGACAAAATGAACTACATTATCCATCAAATGAAATTTCAATAATCTGACATTGTTCTTTCATTTTCATGTAGTGCTCTTCAGCCAGCATGGTCTCTACTGCTCTAAGGATTAAGTGTGAGGACTACAATTACACCCACAAATGAAAAGGAGCCAGCACTGAGGTTCAGGAAAGCTCAGTCTCAACAACTCTTTCCAGCAAGCTCATGCCTTTGTAATCATCATCCCTGAGAGTCATTTCCATAAGCTAAACCACCACAACTTGGCACCACATACAGAGTCATTAAACAGGCTTAAGTAATGCTGCATGTGCAGAGTGCCACCAGGATACTCCATCCTGGTTTACCTCAGACTTCTTTGAGTAAGCTGGCAGATTCCAGACGCCACACGCAGGACACAATCAGGTCACAACTGCCATTAATAGCTGGCCTCTGTTCCCAGGCTTTTTCCAACAGACTGCTAAGACAACAACTGACTAGATGTCTGTGATTTGAAAGAAGCACCTGGCTCTACAGTGACTTCAAAAGCTACAAGCAGGCTCAAAACCAGCTCAAGTGCCAGCAGATTTCTGAAGGAGACAGGTCTGACTTGAACCTATGCAAGCTGGCCCTTTGATAATACTCACAAACCTCATATCAGCCCATCTGCACAACAGTAAACCATCTACCGCAGTGACCAGTAAGAAGTGCACAGCAGAACGAAGGTGACAATAGGATTTTAAGAACGCAACACGAACTCCACCACCTTTGCTAGAATATGGATGAGACCACCAGTGATGACACTTGCAAGCTGATCCAAGGCCCAGCAAGCCACCAAAGAAGATCTTCCTGTAGCAACGACCATCGCTGGATCAGACTCCTGAAGCAAAAAGGATGGGTCTACCTGGGAGGGCAGGATGAGACAGCTTCTCACAGGTCCTTCTAAGCTTGTTTTCCACAATTACACTGCATAACCTCGAGGAGCTTCTGCAGCAAGCTGCTGTGTTCTCCTTCTGCCCCTGCACAGCTCCCAGTATCCCCCTCCTCATCCATGGGGCCAGCATGCAAAAATGCTTCCCAAAAACATATTCGAGTAGCAACTGCCATTTCTCGAGGGATCATCCAGCTTAAATCCATTTAAGAAAAGATACTGAAAGCTAATATTTATTTACTTTCTGGATTTATTTTTGCATATACACCTAAAATTTAATTCATATAGATACCTCCACAAATAATATGTATGTAAGTATGCATCCATGCTTTCTGAAAATATCGTTGAAAACTAAAACGGGACTAAATGTGTTGCAATTAGACAGCATAAGTTCCTCAAACTAAATATAACCTTGAATTGCGAAATGCACTATCCCCTTATATTTCTGAATTAAATGTGGGAAAAATCCCAAGGACTGCCATTTGATCTGCACATTCCGGAATACAGAGTTGGGAAAGGTGATATTAGGAATGTTTCCACAATATAAAAGGAAGAATTTTGCTTTGTTTCTTGCGGAATGAATGTTTCTATTTGCCAAAGCTATGGACCACAAGGACAATGCTGACTGGGATAAAGACATGCAGCCAATGCTGCCAGGAGTGAGAAAGGTCAGAATTTGAGAGGAAGCAGTATGGCATGGTACAGAAATCAAGGAAGTCAGGAATACTTAGAAAAAATAAACACTGAAGACAATCTTCTGGCTTTAAAAGTTTCTGGAAACTTCTCTTTTCTTGGAACCTAATTTAGTTACTCAAGCTCCTCCTGCTTAAGAAAAGTTACGGTGGAAAAATCCACAAGCAAGAATATACTAGGACAACTGCAGATATAGGAACGATCATTTCACAAAGTATTACCTTTAGGATATACCTAATAATTAGGTATAAATTAATAAAGGGACTCAGATATCAATCATAAAACGTAAAATATTTATTCTCTTTGCATCCCATAGAAAATAGTTATCAAAGGACTATTTATTTATTCGAGTCACTTTTTTTTTTTAAAGTTTATTTTACAGTTTCAGCAGAAAGGAGAACATCTGAAAAGCAAATTCTTCTGCCTCGCCTGTTACCATAAGATCTCAACAGCACCAACAGTGGAAGTTGCATTCAGAGAACTGAATTAGACAACTAGAGCCCAAAACCTTCCATTACAGGTGGACAGCACCAAAAGCCATCCACGCCAAAAGCTTTCCTCAGCAATAGCAGCCTCATCTTTCTTCATCTGGCTTGTCAGCACTTTTGCATCCAAATAACAATATTGCACAGGCAATCAATTAATCCTGATGTGCCTGCAAATACTGTGTATGATCACTGGAGCAAAGGGAATCTGATCAAATCCCCAAGCTGCCCTATGTATGGATTTTGGTAAGGGCTGGGGCAGAAGACCTGATCCTTGAAGGTCTCCAGCAATGAAAGAGCCAAAAGTGGAAATAAAGCCTTCCTACTGTCACCAAAAGGATGAGACAGGAGATCACCGATCTGAGCTCTTGAAATAGTTTCAGTACAATGCCCTCACACTGCGACATACGAAGAAAATTAGTTTCTCCTTTACCAGCAGGCCCTTCATTTGTAGTTAACTGACTTGCTCCACGTCTTCATGTTGCAACTTACTGAACTACTGAGATAGTGTAACACAGACTAATGGTCAAAGATAGACGTTACCACTTACAGGGAACTCCAAAACGGCCTCAGTGAGATGAAGCTGTACATTCCCTTTGTATAGCTTCCCCAACAGTCCAGTCCCATCAGGAATAAGACATTTGATTCTGGGTTGTAAAAAGTCCAGTTGAGCAACGGAGAGTCAAATGTGTACAGGAATGGATGCTCTCACTGTTCATGACACCAGTGTATTTGAAGAAAGAGAAGCCTCCTTCACTAAGTGTTGGCTTTTTCACAGCTTCAGGAAAGAAGCGAATGTCACCAACTCCACTCCTGCACATCCCTCCAGAAGTTCTGAACACCAGCCCGCAACACAACGGACTGCTGCAGAGTCAGCACATATTGGTGCAACTGCTGCAGCGGACTGCCATCAGGGATCTCCACAGCACCCCATGCTCAGTTTTGTTTAACTTTGGACTAGAAATCATCCTCAGCCTAGAGTTTAATTTATATTATATATAACTTCTAGCCTTATGGCAAAGTAGAACATACGCATTACTACTTTAAAAGAGGTTTTTATTCTGCTACTATTCCATGTACAGGCTTAGTTTTCTAGTCCTGTTTTTTCCCCACTGCTTTGCCCCTCCCCTTGGCTCACTGGTACCACAGTGAAAGCTAATAGACGTGTTCAATATGTATTTTACCAGGTTGTCATTAGCATCCCCTTGGAGAGCTCGGCTGTAATGATTCCCAAACACTGTGTACTGTGTTCCATTTTTAGACCCACCACTTTTCTGTAAAGCCATGAGCACAGTGCTGGCCTTGCACCTTGTGGAACCTTAAAACAAAAAGCAGATCCTGAAAGTGCTGAAAGGGCAGCGAGGCTTCTGGGAAGGTAGATAATTCCAAAAGCTATGTTACCTTTTAACCCTACCATCAGATGAAGAAAGATGGTAAAGTTCAGGCAATCTGAGCCAGCAGTAAATTGTTATTGCTCTTTCTAGACCTGCTGGAGAGAAGCAGGGCCAGCCTGTAAAATGCCATGTTGCATACAATTCAACAGCCACATTTCTGCCTAATCTTGGATTTTATTTTTTCTAATCTCTGTGTCTGTCTGCAACTGACTTTTCCTCCACAAATTATCTTGCAGTTATAATGGCCCATACTCATTCAAACCAGGAAACCAGGTGTGAAAAAACCCAACCTGTGAAAAAAAGGCAGAGAACACACACACACTGTGGGCTAACTGTAAGTGCTTGGAATTAAATCTCTTATAGAAGAAGCCTGAAAATTTGGTTTCGTAAGTCTGTTAATTCAAGTGGTAAGCTATACTCTACATCTCTAGTAAAAGATAGGGAAGGTTCAGTGAGCCATCTAAAGTAAATTCCTTTGACCAGCACCTCCAATGTCCTTCAAAGTGATAAAACCAGTGACAATCTGAGGCAGCAGGAAGAGCAATCTTTTTCTGCAGTTTGAGATAAGGTATGGAAACAATACAACAATAGGTATTTTTTAAAGGTAGAACGATTAATCACTTCTAGTGGGGCTCTAACTGCCATGGAAGAACTTTGAGTTTCTACTATGAAGGTACAACATTAAATACTGACAATAAATATAAACCCCTACACATCCTTCACAGTGCAACTGCTCATCAGAAAGCTGTAATATAAGTCTCTGAATAAGATACACACCTTGCAATAACTCTAAGAGTCTAAACCATTGCCAAACAGTTATCTTTTTTTGAAAGATACAAGTATTTTCCAAGTGCAAAGCAGATGACCAATGATTAGCACTCACATAAAAATATCAAACTCAGTGTCAGTGGACCAGTAGTAACAGGGAATGCAGCTGGAAAACAGTAGCATGAGAGGCTGATTCAGTGCATTTCCAGTTTTTCAGGATACAAGCATCTCAGAACAGGCACCTGCAGATATGCTGTTAACCAACCCACCCTCCACATCTTCTGGCCTCCAAAATTCAAACCTGATTCAAATCACCTGAGTAATAGTAGAAGAAAAAAAGATGCTTATTATAATGATAGCAAGCCTCCCCCAAACCCTTGGTTTTATTTAAGGATATACACACTAGATATTTACCTCTTTAACAAGTAAATTTTCTGCTCTTTGTTCTGCGTCTTCAGGTACAGAAGGATATAGCGTTCTGATTTCCAGTGGAATTGTGTCTGTCTGACAAACAAAAAAGCAAATTAGTCAGAGTGACAGAACAGCAGTTTTGTTTCATGAAGAGGTTAAGGACCTTATTATTATGGCTTGCATTTTTCAGTTTGTCATGCAGCCAATATACATGCACACCAACTCCAGTCCTTGCATGCACGATTCAATACTATCAGCTAAAGCATTATTTACAAGCAAGAGCAATGTTCAGATAGATTTCTGGGAACAAAGTTGTTCCAAACAAACTTGCTTCAGTCTCTGAGGTTTCTGATAAAAAAGTCATCAAGTCTTCCTTACATCTTCTCCCAGAAACATACACCAAATCCAACAGCATTACTTGCTTCCCCTGTTTCCCTTCTGCACCCCATGCCTTTTCAGCAAAGAATGTGGAAACAGAACTAAAAACATTGATTCTTTTGGAAGGAGAGGAGCGAAGTCCTCCCATTTTCTCTTACAGCTTACACAGACCACACTAATACCCCCCTCACTTTTCATGTGAGTAATTATGAAAAAAACGGCATGTATCACTCAGGCAGATGCAAATGTCATGGGATTCCCCAAACTTTTTCTGTTTCCTCTGGATAGCTCAAGATACAATGTGATTAAAACACTTTGGCTCCCACAAATAACGATGATGCCTCATAGGCATCACAAAGTGAAAAAAACCCCTGTTGTTCTGACAAACTAAGCTCGGTTTCCTGAATGTGGGTTCCTTGGCTCTACACAGATGCATTACCAAAGCTTGAGTGCAGTGGAGATTTACACAATCATTTAGTTTATGAGTAAAAGAGACAGCAGATGGAGAAGAATGAATTTTCAAGGCCACATTTAGTAATAGTTAAGACGTTTGAATCCTTGGTTGTGTAGGGACTTCCCAGCAATACCCACAGTCTCTGGAACATGCTTCGTTACTTCACACATACATGACATTTTAAGTCCCATTTTTAAGCAGCCCCGAGAAGATGCAATCCCTGAGCACAGCTCAAAATCCACAGGCACCCGTAAGGCCCATCATATGGAGTTCTTTCCAGGGTTGAGGCTCCATCGCCAGCAGCAGCAGCCACAAAGCCTGCACACCATCCTTCTGTATCACCTCTGCTAAAGATCAGCTGCTGTTTCCAGACCAGGGCAGAGTGGGAGGCCACAAGAGAAGAGAAGCGTGGGGCACTCTGTGCCTCGCGCTGCCTCTGTAGGGATGGTGACTAAGCTGCAGAGAGATCAACAACCTCTTCTGCTTGCCAGCAGCAAAACTTATCTGCCCCATGTATTATATAGAAGATAGTTTCCAGTATTTTTTTTCAGTTAAGACATATAGTAAGTCAAATCTTTGACCTAATACAATGCTTCGTGTCAAGCGATACCAACACAGCGATCAAAACAGCTAACACTTGCCTTAATGGGGTCATCATGCCTCCTTTCCCTTCCACAGCTTGTCAAAGGACTGCAGCTGAACAAGACACCTAACTCAAGCTCACTGTTTTGCCTGTGATATGCTCCCCCACTTTCCTTCTCAACAAGACTGCACTTGGGTAACGTTGGGCTTGTCACATCTGCAGACTGCCAAAGAATATCACAGGTTTATTTACATAGAACTAGGACATGGAAAATCTTGTGTATTGTTATATTTAAACTTGTTTTAAAAACTACAAAGCACTTCCCTTCTGAGAATTACTTATGTTCAACCACTGAGCAGCAGAAGTCTTGCCACAAAAACACTTCCTGTTCATAGCTGAGCACTTCCAAAGTTAAATGCTCTTAAAGGCTGATCAGGCATAGCATGAATTCACCAAAACCTTTTTACTTCAGAAAACAACTAAATTGCAACAACAGGCTAAGCGCTTCTGAAAGGGTCATAAAAAATAACGGATTTTATTTACAGAATTCAGCATTTATAAAAGTATGCTTTCAATGCAGCCTAATTTTCTAATGTTTAGGCAATCATAGCAACTGTCTGTTCAAATCAGAAGCCAACTATCTTCTCATCTGTGCATGCAAACTGTGATATTCAAATAATGCATGTATCAGCCTAAAACATTAAATTCTATAATTCTCCTGAACTATTTTTTAATCTATTTTATATAAATATCCTATATCCAACATGATCTATGGCATTCAGCCAGCGTCTTATTTGCATAAAGAGTTGGCCCCAGATGTTTGATTAGTTGTAAGGTACAATTTAATTAAGCGCCCTCTCTTGCTACATCCACTTTCTACAGCGAAAGCCACAAGTTAAGATTGCTTCTTATCAACAATTGATTAGGAATAATGTTTTCAGACAGCGCGTACTTCCCACTGACACGGTGAGTTTAGTATTGGAAAATGGAGCTCCGACTCCATTAGCCATTTCAAACATTTTCACTCTGAATCTATTCTAATCACTTTGAGTCTGAAAGCATGTTACCACTGGTTAAATCTTCAGATGGATGCATTAAAAATAATTCTATTTACTTCCTGAAAAGGCAGCCCTTCTAAGAGAGCTAACTGCACACAGGCACCAATGTTCCTGTATGTTAATGCTTAGATTCAATCTCTCTAAAGAGAAGCAGCTCGGCCCCATTTTCATCCAAGCAAACAGATTTACTTAACCTTTCCAAAAACTGTAATGAGTTAGTCCGTCAAATTAAAAAGCAGGATAAGATGCACATTTGCTGCACAAATACCATCATGCAAATGCTGTCACTATACGGGGCTCCCAACAGGTTGCTGTCTCAGCACAGACCTCACCGGAGCAGGTACGTGTGCAGGAGAAAATGAAAGGAAAGCAAGCACAGAGCACATTTAAAGGATAGATCTTGCCCCACTGCTCGACGAGTCACACTCGGTGTGAGAAGCTATGCTTTGCCCACACAGTGTTTGCTTTGCTGACTGCATTAACTCTATTTAAATAGCTGGAGTGCATTCCTCTAAGTCTAAATAATTCTCGCCTTTCTGCTCCTCCCAGCCGACGTGAACTTGCACGTATCAAGGATACTGATATCTCATTAGTCATGAGGATAATGGACTCGATTTCTGCTCCTCTAAGGATGAGCAGATACTGGCCATCACATGAGAAAATGGGAGATAAGTCACATGCTATTAAAAATAACCCATGACCTCACCACTGTAACTCTTCTGGTCTTAGAAATAACAGTCAGGTCTACAGGGTTATTTCCAAGGAGGCTGCAAGTCCCTTGCTTAGAGCTGTCTTTATGGCTCATGTGCTCTGCTTCACGTGAAGAGGCAGTGTCATTGCCAACTCTTGCCTTCTCTCCTTTACGATGCGTCTGGTTCCGCATCTAAATGAACAACTTCTGTCCCTGCACAACATCGAGATAGCAGAGGTCCCACAATCTGAAAAATAAGGAGATTTTGGCTCTTCCTCCTTTAAAGGTTAAAAAAAAAGAAGCCTGGAAACAGTCACACCTGAAGTGGTGGAGAGTATCGGCCCTGCAGGACTCAGCCTCTGTTCTAAAGCCTCTGTGCTATTTGGAGGGCACCTGGGTGGGCTTTCAAAAGCCCAGAAGAGCCAGGAGCACATATCAGACTGAACTTCAATAGGTTTTGCATTACACAGGTAAGCTTTGCCACCTTACACCTGCCCTAAATTAGGCAATGAATTATTTTTTCTGTCGTAGGTTGAAACCAGACATTCAGCCATACTTTAACAACTAGTTTAAGAGTCTGAGTCCCACTTTTCAAATGAAGATTGAAAAAACAGTACTTGAAGAGAGGAGAAATAAATTCTCACAACCCAGAGAGTTTAACCTGCTTTTATACTACACTAAACTGAAGTACCTATTAAATGTTTTCAACTACCATTTTATGATAATCAACTTATATTTATCAACATATTCTTAATGTATATTTAGTTACTAAACCTCCACACATGTAAAGGTATTAGCAAAGGGGCACTGAGCCCATTGCCATTAAGGGAGAGCACCAATAATTCTATACAGGACTTGAGATCCTGGAGAGATTTGAAGACACTGCTGGAGGTTCAGTGAAATTCTTAAGGATGGTAACATGAAGAAAGGATGAAGAAATACTTCTGAAAGGATGCAGAAAGCATTTTGCTTGGATACATGAAGGTGCTTAGGAGCAAAAGTACAAATGTTTGAGAACGAATCTGTGCAAGACAGATGTGAAAGGGTAAAAAGTGAGAGGGAGACCAATCCGAAGGAAGTTGTCACACTTCTTTCATTCCCTCCTTTCTGGTAAACATGTAGGAGAAAAGCAAGAAATAGAAATGCCAGACAGCAGCGGTTCCAGTTGTCAAGAGAGAGTGTGGCTAGGGCCGGGGAAGGTGAACGGAGCACTGGTGAAGACACAAACCTACCGGCATGACCAGCAAGCACACATTGTTATGAGTGCAACAGGAAGCCAAATAACCCCCACTCATTACCTTCACGAAGTAGAGTGTATGCTCGTACTCATGTGGCAGGGAGCTCCTGTAAATCCCAGAATCACAGAATGTCAGGAGTTGG